AAAATATTAATTGTTAATTAATATTAAATATTAATATTGAATTAATATTAAATAACAATATTATATACCTTTTCTATAATAAATTATTATTTAAATATTATATACAGAGCTTCCCGAATAAAATTAAATAGAAAACCAATGAAAATTTCGAATTAATTAAATTATAATTTTTTAAATCTCGAATCATTCTAGCATATAATTATGTAATTTCTGATAGAAATAAACGAGCAATCCCATCTCCTCGAACGGCAATTTCGTTAAATAATCTATGTACATAGACGAGAACTACCGCCCGCATATAGGGGTTGCGCGAACCGCAAGGGCGAGATAAAAGACGTACTTCCGGTTTCGGCTCGGAGAAGCGCTCGGAAAGTGACAAATGGGCACAATCAATATTACATGACTTCGTTGATATGTCCTACTTAATCTCGAAATCTTATTATTGTACGTCCACCCTATACAACACTCAACAATCTCGATGGGAGACACTCGTATGTGTTTTTTTTCTTTTTTCGTGCATTTTTTTTTTTCATCATTTATACAGATCAAAAAGGAGAAGATCACACAGGCTTTTATAACACACGCACCCTGGACCATGTTTTCTCTCTTTTTTTTTTTTTTTTTTTCGTTTATTCGTGATAAGCGAAATTTGTCTGCGCGATATATGTATTAGAAAAATTTGTATCGGTATAGTTAAAATATTATTATTATTATCGTCGTCATTATTGTTTGAAAGGGTTGCCCGTCAGCTCCGTCCTGCAGCCTCTCTTCCTGAAACTGATACAAGGCGGCTATGCGGGCATTACCCTGTGACAAGACCCCGCATCGCGGTGGTTACCCGTTTCATGTCGCTGTCCCAAGTAGACACCCATATTATTATCATTATTATTATTATCGTCATCTCGTTTATTATTATTATTACGATTATCATTATCGATAGAATAGTCGAAAATGAATACGTGGCAGGAAAGTACCGAGGAGAAGATTAAGAATTGATAGAGAGAGAGAGAAACTTGCGGTTATAGTATTCTCCGAGAGAATGTAGAGAAAATAGTGCGAATATAAGTGCTCCGCGAGAATGAGAGAGAGAGAGCACTTTTTTTTCGATAATACAGATGGATAAATGAATAATAGCGCGATGGTCGTTTGGTCATTTGTATCGATATACAGTCTGGTGAAAGTACGATATATCGAATACAACTCGATATGCTATAAAAGTCTGTGGAGAAGCCTTCGTTTTTTCTTACACACCCTCTCTTTCGTAACCTCGTTCGTCAAAGATAACCGCTTGAACGCCTGATTTCCTCGTTTCGAGATAATTTAAAAAAGTTGAGAAATATATTGTGTGTATGATATATTGTCGATTGCCAGTAAATCGCACTTTCGCATTTCGGTTGATGTACTGGAATTGGGTGATGTTTTAAATCTTTCAAAGCACCGACTTTTTCTTAAAATTATGGGAGGAATTCGCAAATTATATCGAGAGTCGTGAAATCAAACGGAGAGATTTCTATAGGTATCCTTCGTATTTGTAAAAATTAAATACATAGTTTGTAAATTGGATTCCAAGGATTTTGCATTCTGTACAAATTCTCATATATCTTCGAGAGGAATCGGAATTTATAAATTCTTATGTCATCTTAATTTATAAAATTTGATTTATATTTTATTTCTTTTTATTTAGATGCGTATAAATTGCTGAATTTTTTCTTAAATTTCTAACTTCCGTATATTTTAAGTATTAAATTGCAAATTATCTTAAAATTTATTTAAAAAATTACAAATAAAATTTATTTAAGCAGAGAGAAAAGAGAGAGAGTTAGAGAGATAAATATCGCTGTGAAATGAGTTTCAAGATATATATATATATATATATATATATATATATATATATAGGAAATCATGGGGTTTTAAACTCTTTGATTATATTCTCCAATACTCTTCATTTTCCTTTTATATTTCGAATAAAAGTCTCGGATCCTTGGAAATCCTCACAATCTTATATTCTCTTTTCATCTCGTTTTATAATTTTTCTTTTTATTCTTATATTTCTCTGAGCAAAATATGACACGAACAATCATTCAGGTAGACTATTGCTTTTGAGAAACAAAAAAATCAGGCTGCACACATCGACGTTTTTTGCTACTTTAAGTTTACCTGCGATTTAAAGAATATGAATATTGTACAAAACAACTAAAATGGCCGCCCATTGATTCATCAAGGAACCTTCTACTTCGAGCGTTTTTTTTTTATTCTTTTGATAGAATTTTGTCTACGTCGTAAACAAAAGTGGTTCAGAACGCCATTTTTCACGATCCAAACTACCCAAGGATTCTTGCAAGGATATGTTTTTTATCGCTTAAGGAGATGCTGACCAAATATATATTTTATCGATTGAAAAAGTGAGGTTAGATTCGACTATAAATCTATTTATTGGCTATACAGATTACTTATTCTTGAAATTATGATCCTCCTCCTTATTTTTTAATATTAATACTTTCATTGTACAAAAAGATTTATCGATCTATATAGTCAATTAAAATATAGGCACTTGAACTTATAAAATCTCATAAAATTATAAGTTCAAGTGCTTAAATTTTGATTGATAAACCCTTTTGCACAATTAAAGTATTAATATTAACAAAGGGGATCATAATTTCGAGAATAAACAGTCCGTATAGTCAATATAAATAAATTTATAGTCGAATCTAATCTCATTTTTTCGATCGATAAAATATATTTGGTCAGCATTCCCTTAAATTTGAATAATAATTTTTGTATTACACGTGCAGGCAAAGTGGCACTTTGTGTGCGTGTTTTCTGTGCGGAAAGCGGCCGATTTCCCACGCCGCCATCTAGCGGCGACACGGCTATTCTTGCACCATGCCGCCGTAAGATGGCGGCGTGCGATCGGCCACCTCGCGCACAGAAAACGCGCACAAAGCCACTTTGCCTGCACTTGTAATACAAAATATCATGTGTATCAAGTACGGATTGACAATTGTTCACTCGTGACCAATTGCCAACTTTCCGCACTTGATACACAATACACTATTTATCACTCATAAAACGCCTTGAATCTTAATTCAAGAATCATTTGCTACAAAATCAAAATGCTTGACAAGTTTCGTAATTTTTCGAATTATGCTCGGTTCCCTCGATCTTACATGATAAACATCCTTGTTCGACTTTGGAAAAAGGCAATCGTCTAGTTTTCGTTTTTATTAAATTACAAATTTTACAAACGTCGCTTCTTTCCATATAAAATTTTCTAGAAAAGGTGCGAAATGGTTCGCCGAATTGCAGAATTTAAGGATGGGGGATCCTCTTCTCTCCGACACGAAGGAGCTGGAAGATTCCGAACGTGTATAAGTCAACTTCGATTTTCACCTCGCGAAACGGCCGCCAGGAGGATATTTCCATTTTGTCTGGCCGAGAGATCGATGGCGATCGCCTCTCGAGTACAATTCCGAGGGTGGTATTTTGGCCGAGAAACGCGTTTGGGGAAGGATATTCCAACTTCCGCGAACTCACTCGAGGCGCCTTGACTGCAGGCAGGTGGGTGGGGGTGGATAGGAGTGGGTTGGGGTGGGAGTGACATAAATATCGCCTTACCGAAACGAAACACGTTATCTCGCGGAAAGTTCCCCGCTGGAAGATCAAGAGAGTAAACTCCTTAAGTCCTTTCCAGGTGTTTCCAACTTCTGCTGGACTTTAGTACCGCGTGTGACGCGCGTAACATTTTTTCCTGGTTCCTTTTTTTTTTCGAAAAACTCAACCCCCCAATCCATCCCGGTGTGTTGAAAAATTAAAGTAAAGGGAAAATGTGATAATTTTCCTCTCCCGGTGTAATACATGAAATGGTTGGTCGATTGAGAGAGGAACCCGCTAATTATAATTAGCCGCAATGAAGTATCCACCCCAAATTTGTCTCTCTTTATTTCCGCATTGTAATATATATAATACAATGTGTATAATATAGTCTGACGAAGCTCTTGGTCGGAATAATAAACAGATTTATTTTATCATTATTATTATTATTATTATTATTATTATTATTCTTTCCTGCTTCTCTTTCTCTCTTTTTTTTTTTTTTTTAATTCCTTAGATGAGTTTAAAGGAATGTGTACCTTGCAAACTTTCGAGGGAACTGAAGGATCGAATACCAATGAGCGGCTCATTGTTGGATAATAATAATGACTGATGTTTTCATCGTCGCATTTAACGTTAAAGTTTTTTTATCTTCGCGTGCGTCGCATCGACAGAAAAATGTCGCACTATTTTATTTTTCGATATTAAATTTTCCTCGTAAATGTGGTGGCTCTGTATATAATAATATCACGCGATCTCTCGAAAATGATTATACGATTGGTAGTTGCGTTTACGTCAAATGCGCATACAACGCGATATCTCGTGACGATGAGAGAACTGGATATTGGAACTGGATGAGCAACGTTAACGTTATATATACAGTGAAAACACAGGCCTTTATTATAATGGCTTCTACTCTCGTAACGAGTACGTTACACGCTTCGTCTAAACGTTTCTCGATCGTACGCGAGAGATCAGAATTATCGCGATGTTTAAACGACAAAGAGAAATTTCAAGATTTTTATTTTTTATTTTTACGCGAAATATTTTGGTGTATAAGAATAATTGAAATCCGTTGAAAATTTATTTAGCCGAATATAACACGATGAGTACACGAATATTGACTAAATAAAATGTCAATATGTTTGGGTACGTGTGTGTTCGTGTCTGTGTGTGCGAAGCTTATCAAGCTATAAAATATATCTCATCTGTACATCGTTACATCAATTTACGAATAATATATTACTAAAAGTACTAAAATAAATTGATAAAATAAATTGGTGAAATTAAAAAATAGCATTTACCTAAAATATCGCAATTTAATTGAATTGGTTTAATTAAATTAATTAAGTTGAAATTAAATCAAAATACTTACGCAAATAAAATGAAATTATTAGCTCTCGAACGTATCATTTGTCATAAAATATTTATTTTACAAATTTTTCTCTTAAACGGGACATATATTTCAAAATGAAATCCAACAGATGAAATAAAATTTCATTTATAGTGAAACAATTTTTTTCCTCTTTCGGAAGTATCTTTAACATATGTATATTTAGCAATCATCGGAATGTGATTGTACAATTGCGCGCATGATTATTTTCCAAAATTCAGATTATCATCGAATTGCGTTTGAGGGCCGAAATATATTACATCAAAGCATCATGATCGTCGTTTAAACAATCGCGCCTAGATCCGGTTTCCATGCTCGTTACAATATAACCACAATTCGACATCCGAGACAGGATCAGTGTGAATATTTATTTCGATAATTCCGCCAAAGTCAGTTCTTTTGCGATTAGTCCTTATATATATATATATGTATATATATATATATATATATACTCTTAAGATTAGGTAAATAGTTAATTATATATATAATTAGTTACTTAGGCGCGTTGATTAGCGGCTTGGGCGTTTCCTTCTTCACCCATCCGCCTCTCTATCCTTGTTACATGTGTCGTACTTTCTTCAATATATCGTCTCCTGGATGGCTTCGTATCGATTATCGTTGGAGAGAAAAAAAATCTGGAGAAAGGGGACTGTCGCCCGATTCTTTTTTAAGGATCGTCCCGAGTCGATTTATCGTATAATCGAGCTTCTCTTGAAGATTCTATATGGACTATCAAACTTATACACATATAATCTTTTTCTTTTCGTTCTTCTTGTATTTCCTTACATCAAGTCCGAGAATTCTAGGATGTGCGCAATTCGGATATTTGCATTTGATAAAAAGAATTAGGCCGTTTAAGATATTTTTGGAATTTTTTAAGTATTAGGTAAGAAGAGAATAGGTACTTTTAATTTTAGAAAAAGAGAGGGAAGGAGAAAGATTATTGCAATTGTGAATATTTGATTTATTTTTGACAATTCTTGATATGTTTAACGCTAAAACGTGCAATAAAATTTAGGAGATAGTAAGTATTAAATTTTTGAGAAAATTTTGAAAATTATTATTTTTAGATTGGTTTTTGAAAATAATTTTTAAAAATCTCTTAGATTTCAAGGTCTTAGACTCGTGAATATTTATCTAAAACCTCAAGTGTGTTAATTCATAGAATCTTAAACTTTCAGATTCTGGCATATATTAAATAATTGGAGACAATAAATATTTTTGAGAAACAGTTATATATTGAAACTTTGTTAGATCGAATTTTAAGAGAGCAATTTTAGAATCCTCGGACTATTATTCTCTATATGAACTTTCTCTGTCCTATAATATCAGTCATTCCCAAAATTGTTTCTTCGCCGTTATACTCTTCAAATCTATCTCTTTTTCACATTTTAATGTCGCGAAGAACAGAAACACTGTACGCGACGCGACAAGGGCAAGAATAGCCCTTGCATTTTTTATATTTGTGTCTCGTGCCTCATCAAACCTCGTTTAATATCGAATCCTCGAAGAGAGAAAAGCCCTTTTCTCTTTCGCGCCGTGATTCATTCTGGTTCAATGAAGAAAGACGCTGGTAACAGACCTGGTGGTGTGAGGGGGTAGATCGGGGGCCTCTGTCAGGGCCCCCTCGTGCCCCTATGCGCTCAGACCGAGCCGATGTATCTTCGCCGAAAGGAAGTTGTGCAGGACAAACACGATCGGTTTCGGACAGCTCTCCAGGTCAAGCTCCTGTAACAAAATCAATCAATACTTCTTTATTCAGTGATGATGTATGTACATAAATATATACAAAAAATAATATATATTTGTATACAGGGTGTAACTAAACAAAGGTATACGAAGCACATCATCGGATGCAGGACGACAAACTAAATTGAAAAGTCTTGAGCCATTTTTTAATCTGAGCTTTATTTTTCACGCTATGAATTGTTAAAGTTGGCCAATTAGCGCGGGGCTACAACGGAAAACAGCGTAGGCGCCGCCTTAGTAGGCGGCGCCTACGCTGTTTTCCGCGCGCTGATTGGCCAACTTAAACAATTTATAGCGTCAAAAATAATGCTCAGATTAAAAAATGGTTTAGAACTTTTCGATTTAGTTTGTCGTGCTGCATCTGATGGTATGCTTCGTATATCTTTGTTTAGTTACACTCTGTATAATATACATTTTATATATTTATTATGTATTATATATTTATTATATATTATTATATGTGTATATAATATATATAATTAATATTAGAAATGTTCTCTCAATGTAAAAAATTATACGTATGTATATAATATAAGCTTTTCAAATATTTATAAATCCAGAAAGTAGAAAAAGCATTATGATAAGTAAGAGCAAGTCTAATAATTTTTTATTGATAAAAAAATCGATAGGACGATTCTACTCTCAAAATAAGTTTGTTAAATATTGTAGAGGATATAATGAAAAAATTTGCGATTACAGCAAAAAGTTTTTACAGTTTCACAAACTCGGTTTTACGAATTCTCTCGAATTTTATAAAGTTCTGAAATTTTCGTACGTCTATCTTGAGTACTCACAATTTCGCCATCATCGCCCCCAAATTCGAGCCACAGGAGACGGGCGCCGTCGTCCGCGGACATTTTCAATTTGTCGAAGGATCTCTTCCACAGCGGGGTGGGCGGTGATCCAGGACTTACGCCGTTGCCGGCAGTGTTCCGCGTTCCAGCGGCATAAAGCGCGAATCCTTCCTCGTGATTGACAATTAACTGACAGGCCTTACCTTGCCATGTGCAACCTATAACACACGCAATGTTACAAAATTAAAATAATCTTTGAAAAAAAAGGAAAAATCCATTCAGATTCACGCATCCGAATAGAGTCTATTACAGAGAATCTAATATAAGTCGAAAATGTTTTATATTATTTTTATGTCTTATTATATTTTAATATAAAATTTAATAAATACAAAAATTAATATTAAATTCATATAAAAAAATTAATAGTTTATTTATGAAACTTTCTTAACAAAATGTTTATTATAAAAAATAAAAATAAAAACGTATATTAATTTTTTTAGGCATTGCATTAGATTATTAACACATTTTTTAAAGATATTTTATTTTTGGAAGGAAGGACTATTCTATTATAATTTTCCCACGTTTCATACTCTATCCTCTTCATTCTCTAAAGAATTTCAATTATTAGAAATTAATAAAAATGTTTTTTGCCAATCTACAGCGGAATGCTTAATCAATCTTTATTTTAAATGATCGTAGTTTGTATGCCATCGCGTTATATATTTACCAACTAAACATTGAATTTTCAATTGAGTTTCTGGTTACAACGTACCAGCATTTCTCTTTATGAGACAGCCTGTATATATACATATTTTTCTTTTCCCATTGCGCGTTCTCTATCGCGTCGTTTCTTTATTATCGATGAGTTCGCGAGACACGAACAAAAAAGACGCATATGAAACGGGCGAGGCATTCATCTCGATTTATTATTGCCGTTCGTCGTTGATGAAAAGAAATTAAAATTCATCGAACCGAGCGCGGAGAACGACAGAGAATATAGATGTCGACTATCATCCTGCTTTCGTTAAAGAAAAAAAAAAGAAATGGCCTCGCTATTTCTTGAAATATTTCTCGCTCTAGGAATCTCTCCCTCCCTCCTCTTTCTCTCTCAGTTGCACAATTTCAACTCTCCATTTGCCAATTTTATTCTTCCAATTTTTTAGCTATTCGATTTTCGCTTTATTAATTTTATTTTCGTTAATTCGAACATTTATTCGAAAAAGAACCATCCCTAAATTACGTAAAGCTTTTTTTATGAATTTTGATCTTTTTCCTCTCCCATTTAAGATTTTCTAATCTCTTGCATCTTACATAATATTTTACAATTTTATTAAAAAGAGTTTTCTAATATTATGATCAAATTTGACATTTACATTTATGAAAATAAGTCTTTTTCCAAAATAGCAAGTTATATATTCATTATTTCTATAATATGATTAAAATTAGTTGATAAAGGTAACTAATAAATAAACGAAAATGGCAAAAAAATTTTATCTTTTCTTAAGAAAAACACTTTCAAAAATCTTACGAAAAGAATTATTTCAAAATCTCCTCCTTCCAAAATTCTTACTTATGTTAAATTATTTAAATTATTTTAGTTATGGCTCTTACAACCCGAGGTTGTTTCTCTGACTGATCAAAGTCAGTCTTTATTTACAGAAATATTTACAGAAAATCGCCGAAAATATGCACCTCAGCAAAAATGTCGAGGAAGGCCATTTTTTGTAAGTTCCCAATTTTTGCCATCATAGGTTTCTAACTAAACCTTAAATTAAAATTTTATTAAAGTATACTCTATTTGAAATTAATTAGAGAACGTGGTTTTATTAATATTTTATTTTCACAAGGCTTACAATTTAGTTTGCGAAAAACCCTTTATTTTCAATCGCTTATAACTCAAAAATTATTGACGCGTCAATATTTTTGCTGAGGAAAGATTGTCTCCAAATAATAAGATCTTGTATATTTTCGGCGCGACACCTTATGTGAAACACCCTGTATAATCAACATGCGGGAAATACTTACGAACGGTGTACTCCCGCAAGGAGTGAGCTGCCGCGTGACATCCCTGAACGATCGCCCGCGCCCAGGCCGCCAGATCTCTTCGTGTCTCAGCTCGTAAATGATGCGTGATCACCCCGTCCATCGTGCCGACCCGAACCGCGAACGTCGCCCCGTGTTGAGTCGAACCGCTACTGCTACTCGCCGCTTCGTTCTGCCGCGTCGGGGAAGAAACCAGTCTGAAACCGATTCGAATCGTCGTCGTTTGAGAACCACCAGCTCCTTAAAAACGTGCATTATTCATCTCTCTATCTAGGTTGGGTTACACCAATTCGCGTTATAGATATTTAATCCTATTACTTTTATCGATGAATCCAAAGCGATTTGAAATGTCAAAAATGTGTCGGAACTTTTCTCCGTCCGAAAAAAAAAATATAAAAGAGCCCTTGTATTCGAAAACCTAAAATATAACAGAAAATAGAATGAACTGCTGTAAAAAAATTGCCGCAGTGCAATGTGTCGAAAACACGTGGTTTGTATCCGAGTGCCCATATATTGATGAAAGAGTGAACAATTATTGCCGTATCGGGAAGAAAACTAGTCTGAAAGCGATTTGAATCGTCGTCGTTTGAGAACCACCAGCTCTTCAAAAGCGTACATTATTCATCTCTCTATCTAGGTTACACCAATTCGCATTATAGATATTTAATCCTTCTATCGATAAACCCGGATATCCAAGACGACTTAAAATGTCAAAAATGTGTCAGTACTTATTCTGTCCAAAAAAAATATAAAAAAGCCTCTGTATTCGAACATCCTAAAATGTAACAAAAAAGAGAACGAGCTGCTGTAAAAAAATTGTGCAATATGTGTCGAGAACACTCGAGTGCTCATACATTGATGAAAGTGTGAACAATTATTCATCCAATTATATATCCAAAGCGGCTTGAAATGTCAAAAATGTGTCGGAACTTTTCTCCGCCTGAAAAGAAAATATAAAAGAGCCTTTGTACTTGAAAACCTCCTAAAATATAACGAAAAAGAGAACGAGCTGCTGTCAAAAAATTGTGCAATATGTGTCGAGAACACTCGAGTGCTCATACATTGATAAAATTGTGAACAATTATCCATCCAATTATATATCCAAAGCGACTTGAAATGTCAAAAATGTGTCAGTACTTTTCTCCACCCAAAAAAAAAATAAAAGAGCTGTATTCGAAAACCTCCTAAAATATGACCTAACCTACAATATAACGAAAACGAGAACGAACTGCTGTAAAAAAAGAGTTGTGCCGAAATGTGTCGAAAACACTCGAGTGCTCATACATTGATAAAATTGTGAACAATTATCCATCCAATTATATATCCAAAGCGACTTGAAATGTCAAAAATGTGTCGGAACTTTTCTCCGCCTGAAAAGAAAATATAAAAGAGTCTTTGTACTTGAAAACCTCCTAAAATATAACGAAAAAGAGAACGAGCTGCTGTCAAAAAATTGTGCAATATGTGTCGAGAACACTCGAGTGCTCATACATTGATAAAAGTGTGAACAATTATCCATCCAATTATACATCCAAAGCGACTTGAAATGTCAAAAATGTGTCAGTACTTTTCTCCACCCGAAAAAAAATATAAAAGAGCCTCTGTATTCGAAAACCTCCTAAAATATGACCTAACCTACAATATAACGAAAACGAGAACGAACTGCTGTAAAAAAAGAGTTGTGCCGAAATGTGTCGAAAACACTCGAGTGCTCATACATTGATAAAATTGTGAACAATTATCCATCCAATTATATATCCAAAGCGACTTGAAATGTCAAAAATGTGTCGGAACTTTTCTCCGCCTGAAAAGAAAATATAAAAGAGTCTTTGTACTTGAAAACCTCCTAAAATATAACGAAAAAGAGAACGAGATGCTGTCAAAAAATTGTGCAATATGTATCGAGAACACTCGAGTGCTCATACATTGATAAATTGTGAACAATTATCCATCCAATTATACATCCAAAGCGACTTGAAATGTCAAAAATGTGTCAGTACTTTTCTCCACCAGAAAAAAAATATAAAAGAGCTGTATTCGAAAACCTCCTAAAATATGACCTAACCTACAATATAACAAAAACGAGAACGAACTGCTGTAAAAAAAAGAGTTGTGTCGAAATGTGTCGAAAACACTCGAGTGCAACCGTACATTGATGAAAAGGCGAACAGTTACATCTTGACAGAGGAGTTAAATAACAATTCCGGGCTAAAAATCACGGGCTGTGTCGGGGAGTTAAAAAAGTGGCCGGACCTTTATCGAAGCGATCGAAGCGCCTTGTAGCGAGTCACGGCATGGATTTCATTCCCGCGCGTCGTCGTCTCCTCGTCCCGACCATCCCATCCGGGCGGGTGGGTAGGTAGGTAAATTACCTCGTCATCCGGCTCGCCTCGCTCGTAAAATCGTCGCGGCTTTATTGCATGTGGGACGAAGCTGCAGCGTTCGCCTGACACGGGTTCGGGAACGCGCGTATCTCCAACCCCCCTCGATCTCCTCGAATCCCATTCCCTCCCACCCCAATCTGCCCGCTGACGAATGGTCCTGACGTTCGCGAGCTCGCGCGCTAGATTTATAGATTTTTCCGAGGGACACTGGCGAGTCCTCCTCCCCCACTTCTGTGCTTGCTCTCGTCGAAAAAAAAAAAAAAAGAAAAACAAAGAGCGATGGAAAGAACATCCCCCGATCCCCGATGGAGGACGGAAAGAGGACAGACGCGGAAAATGGCACACTTGGACTGGAAAAAATACATACTCCCGGCATCATTCGACGTGCCTAATAGTCGCGAGAGATGTAGTTGGCTTTTTGTAAACAGAGCGAGGTATTTTCTACTTATTTTTGAATATAGCTACTCTTGTAGAAATTTCTATCTACACCTTCTTTTAAAATTACGTTGCTCGAAACAATTGAAGTGGAAAGAAAGGGTTTGGTTAGGTTAGGTTAGATGTATTAATTGAATATGTCAGGTTAGGCTAGGTGTATTTAGCGGATGTTAGGTTAGATGTATTTGTTGAGGTTAGGTGTATTAATTCGAGAAGAGACTACGGATAAAAGATATTTTATAAGGAGACACATTTATGTCGATTTTTTATCTTAAGATTTTACGAGATATTCTCCTCTCCACTTTTCCTCCTTTCTTCTACTTATTACACGTTATATCGTTAATGTCCAAGATAATTCGATTTCACTCGACATAATGGATATTCATAGGTCATTATCGCTAACGCGTATCACAGGAACGAAGACGCTGAAGGAAGGAAAGAAAAAGAAATAAAATAAAGCAGCGGAAGAGCGCGACGAAAGAAAATTCCGATAAGCGGGAGGAAGCCTGGAGAGACAGCCGCAAACGGTAAATAAAAGCGTTAAACGAGAATGGATGCTCGTCGGCGGCCGTAATCCGACGAAAAAGCCCGCAGGAAGGAAAGAAAGTTTCCCTCGGGATAGCCGAATCACTTCCGGTTTGTCTCGCAGTAAAACTTCTTTAAGTCGGCCATTTCGCGCCCTCGCGTCGGGCCCGATACGGGCCCCCTCGACCGGAAATAGAGCTTCCTGACGTGCTTCCGCCGTCCTTTACGCGTCTCCTTCATCGTCTTTTGGAGAACTTTGAGGAAAACGATGTCTGAATGTTTGGCGAGGAGGAAAATGATTAATAGCGACGATATAAAATTCGAGGAAAATTTCCTTTCGGTAAAATACTGACGGATCTTTCTCTCTCTTTCTTTCTCTGCGGTTTATGAAAGCACCTTAATCATCATTGGATATTAAAAAGTCCAATGAATTATAGGACCTATACTAGTGTGTGTAAAAAAAATTACATAAAATTACGTTAAATTTTCTTGAGAAATTTCGCGACCGGATTAAAGAAAAGTTGTAAAATAAGAAAGTATATAAGTTGCGGGATATCATAATCGAATCTATGAGGATATCGATTAGTTTGAACTATGTATTGTATTGACCTACATGATAATATAACGGCAAGTTTGTCTCTATTGTAATTAACTTAGTACTATCTGCATTGACTGCCACACAAGTTTATATAATTAGTAACTCGAGCAGCATTGTCTTACATTCTATTGACTAAATATATACAGAAATAACAAACTTAAATCGAGTAAATAGACAACGATACGATTCGACAATATTGGAACAAAAAAACATTCTTTATTGTATCTTATTTTTCTTGATATTATTACGTGTAAAATATTACGTAAATATTATTATCTTATAGTGTTGTGCTTAGATTTTAAAATTAGCTACATAAAGATGAGATAAAAATGTGTAAATTCATCTTACAATTATATGAGATAAAGATAATTTTGTTTTAAATATATCTAGACAAAAAAATAAAATTATATGACGTTTCATCTAGATAATTTTCAGATAATATTATTTGTAAAATTGCTTATGTAAACACAATTATAAAAAAATGTTATAAAAATACTATTTAAATACTTTTATGTGCTACGGTTCTAAACCAAAATTATCGGAAAATTATTATAAATAATTTATTAAAGATAACATTTTCTTAATACACATTTTTATTATCTATATAAAAATAAGATGACACCAAAATTTTATCTAGATAATCATCTATATAATTTTATTTAGATAACAGCAAACACTACTACGTATAAAATATAAATTAACCACTTCAAAGAATTCGCGTCGGCGAGTTTATTTAAAAAAATATATTCTAAAAATATCTTTTAACAGATATTACACATACAAAGAATGCCGAGATGTGACACGCGAGTGAAACAATGAACCAGCATTTTTGCTCTCTTCCTCGGGATTTTTGCTCGCGAGAAAATGATACTCGGAATGTCCATCCTATATAAATACATATATACATCTATACATATATATATATATATATATATATATATATTCTAGCCTGTATATAACATAGACATACGATAGAGAAACAACGGGCTTGTAAGCTGCCACGGAACGATCGATGCCTGTGTTCCGGGTTTCCGGGCCTTTTTCACTTAAAATTTAAACGAGGCTTAGCTCTGGATCACCGATCATTCAAACAGCGTGACTGCCTGACACCGCATTTAAGCCGCTGGAAAACGCCAGGCGCTCGTCGTTAAGAGGAAAAAAAAACATCAACCCGACATTAATTCGCAACAATGAAAAGTTTAACGCGATATATGAAATAATGCAACGAGACATGCATTTCCGGCGTGCCCGCAAT